GCGAAACCGCCGCCTCCTGACAGGGCAGTCCACCCAAACGAGTGTCCGGTGTGTGAATGAGTCGGCTCCGTGTTTCTCACCAACGTAGTCTTCTTCTTCATCCCAGTGAAGATCATGGATGTTAATTACGCAAGGGCGCGCTTTCTAATGAAATTTGGGGGGCGACGGGAGTGATAGGTAACTATAGGTGCATCAGGACCGCATGATGCCCGCTGTCACATGAGACGCGTGCGGCCCCCAGTCTCCTTCAGGCTGTCGAGAAAATCGTGATTCGATCCAAAGGCGAGACCCGCCTCGCCAGATAAGCATCGGGCAAGGACCGCGTCTACACCACACTGTCAGCGCCATCGCCCTCGTCAATTTAAGCCCACTTTCAGCCCCGTCCGTGACCAGGAGCCAGATCTACGGGCACTTCTATCCTGGGCTGGGTGGGAGCCAGCTCTCCCCACGGTGCTGCCCGCATGTGAACCGCATTGATGAGAGCTACCATTCGTCCATACAACCCACCGCCCCACTCGGCCTGTGACGCCCTCCATCGGACACTCTCCATCGGACACAGATGGTGAGTTCCCTCCACTCACGTCACAGGATGAGTGCCCCGGCGGGGCACCCGACGAGATGGGTGGTGGGTGTTTCTCTACAGGGTGGCCGGCTATATTGACCATGCATGGCTGATGTGAGACATCCATGGCCGGCCACCTCGTGGCCAGTCAGGCCAGGATCACGGCCGTCTCCCAAGCGAAGCAACCGAGAGGGGTTGTCTGCAGTGATGCAGTGATTCACTGAATGAATGAATGAACGAATGAATGAATGAATTAATAAATGAATTGAATGACAATATTAATGATTCATCATTGATTGTTGACTGACAAGCAAGCACACAATCGTGTGGCTCGAGAGAATGACAGAGCGATTCGTTCGTCCACGCCTTATCCAGCGGCCCGTCCCATTGCAGAATCACTATCATTACACTGATGTGTGAGACCTCCAAAGAGGAGCAGAGCGATCACAGGAGTGCACGCTGAAGTCTGTTTTATCATGAGAAAAAGTCCGTTTCAGGTGATAACGAATTAGACACAGACACCAGCTAGACAGAAAGACACACCGCACACATCTCCCCCGCTGCCCTTTGGGCTCTCTGCACTGCAACACAAAAGTGGCAGCTGCTGTTTATCAGGCAAACGCAGCTGGACAGACACAAGGCCTTACACACTTCACACACACATCAGAGTCAGACCAGAAGAACCTATCGCTTGTACGGCCGCATGATCTCTCTGATCTTCGGCTTGTCATATTTCACCGTATAGTCCCACGGCGTCTGCCCCTGTTGTGATGAGATGAGATGAGCACACCACTCGACCCATCGATGGTGTGAATGTCTGTGTGTACTCACGTCATTGTTTTTGATGTCCAGCAGAGCACCGCCGCCCCACTCGAGCCTTTGAGAATGACACACACAGGGAGAGAGAGAGAGAGTGTGTGGATGAGATGTTCGCGTCAGTCAGTCATCTGTGTCCCTTACAGCTGAGACACAGCCGCAGATTTGCCACAGCCTGCAGCCCTATGGAGTGCCGTGTCTCCAAGCTGTGTGTGTCATGCACACAAAGGAAAGGCAATCAATCAGATGAGAGAAGACTGTGTGGTCTCACCTTGTTGGTCTGTGTGAGCAGTTTTTCCCCTCCTTCGGCATACATTGGCTCCAACACATCGACATGACCATTTCCAGCAGCCATTATGAATGGCGTGTTGCCACGCTGCAATCAACACACACGCACAGACACACACTGAGGCGTCGGATACATGTGTGTGCTCTCTTACCTTGCCGCGTGCGTCGATCAGTTTGGGATCCCACGACAGCAGCTGATTGACCGCGGCAAGACGGCCATACTCAGCAGCCCAATGCAGGGCATTCTCACCATACTGCATACCATCACAGCAACACACATCTCCTCCTCATCATGACCAGTAGCAGCACACAAGATGGTTTGTCTGTGTCGGTACCTCGTCTGTTTGCTTCAGTACGTCCGGTTTTCTCTCATGGATGACTTTCATGACGCCCACGTGACCCTCCTCTGCAGCCAACAGGAAGGGTGTCCTCTGCAGGAATGAGAGCACACAGACAGACCACTGAGGGCATTCCTTTCATTTTGACCACTGCGTACCGCCGCGTATCCGTATCGTTTGTCGAGTATGTCCTTGCCCTCCTTTGCGATGAGCAAACGAACCGACTCCTCATCGTTGTCCCTGACCGCTTTGAAGATGTCATTCTGACACACACCCAGCACAAGAACAGCGGCCCATTGACAAATGGGGTTCAGCTGGTGTCTTCCTGACGTGTTTGATCTGCGGCTGTGGGGCGCTCGGCGGTGTCTTCACTACCCGAAGCTGGCTTAAGAGTCCTGCACGACACACACAGAGCCACAGCAATATATTTATTATTATTTCACGACACACAGAGCATGGATTGCTGTCGCTCTCTCTCTGTCTGTGTGTGTGTGTGTGTGTGTGTCCCCGCAGACCTCTGTGCTGTGAGGGCGGCTGAGAGGTCTTGGCCAGACTGCTTGTCGGCCCCGTTGTGGTGCTGACAGTGCTCATGTGGACACCCGACGAATGGCCGACGGGAGACACACTTGTTCTTGGCGAGGCAGCCGCTGCAGACCACAACGAGAGACACAATGACGAACACTTCTTATGTCCGACTCGAGAAGGTGTGAAGATGGACTTTGTCGCTTTGAGCTTCCAAACAGCCACCTCAGCGGGCCCTTGTGCGATGGCTCAGCAGCCATGTTCTCCTTTGCCGTGTCCGTGTCCCTGTCTGGTTGGGGAGGGGAGGGAGTCGGAAGAGGCGAGATCTTCAACTTGTCGAGGACCTGCCATCAAGACGCATCAAGTGTATGAGCCTTCCTTCCCTTTGTGTGGATGTGACTTGTCGGGCTGTGGGACGACTGGCCGCCTTAAAGGCAAAACAACTCTGATAGACGCAAAGAGGGGAAAGGAGGTAGTGAAGGAGAGAGAGAAAAGTAACACATATCGTCGGTTGGTCTGCCTTGATGGCGTCCTTGATGTGCGGCGGCAGAGATGCCGGGATGGCGGGGATCTGACATGAAAGGCGACACGTGGTAACAGCAGAGCCATAGCAGTCTGATGACATTGTACCTCTTTCATGTTGACGACTTTGTGGCTGATCTGCGGGGGCCCTTTGCCCTCAAACGGCCGCCGACCTGCACCCAAAGTCGGTCGTGGCGCTTTGTTGTTGGGGTATGTTACAGAGGATCTGCTGCTGACCTCCGTGAATCTCCCCCAGTACTGAAGACGCCAACACACACACAGATGGACAAGAGAGAGACGATGAAGAAATAGTTGTGGGATGGCTTACTGCCGCCCAAAGCCCATATGTCCGCCTTGACGGTCAGCTTGTCCACTGAAAGACACAACCACAAGGGCCCCCAGTAACATCGACTCGCTTTGCTTACAGTCTGTGTCGAAGCCCTCGGGCGGCATATAGTTTGCGGTCCCGCCGATAAAGGTAAGTGTTGTATTCCTCTGAGCGCCGCGAATCATCCCAAAGTCGGATATTTTCAGAGTAAGGCGTTCACCCAACTGACAGACAAACAAGTGGGAGAACGACAAGAGCTCTGCAACTCTATGAAAGAGAGGCTCTCTGTCGTGGCCGACCAGAATGTTCTCCGGTTTCAGATCTCTGTGGACGATGCCCTGATCATGCAAGTACTGCAGACCCTCACAGATCTGTGACCAACACACACACAGATGATGAAAGACACAAGAGACCTCTGTGATGCCATGTTCCTTTCGACCTGTTTGGCGAACCTGTCTCGCACGTCGGGCGGCAGCGGCCCGTGTTTGGCCAAATAGTCCGCCAGGGAGCCGCCCTCACACAACTCTGACGAGAATGAGAAGAGGAGACATCAGAGGGGACAAGGCCGATGGACGAGAGGAAGAATAGACTGACTACCTAGGACAATCATGAGTCCGTGTTTGTCGTCTCGGCAGACGCCCAGCAGCTGCACTATGTTGGGGTGTCGGAGCTGAGCCATCGGGAATGCCTCCTTGAGCACTTCCATGAACTGCGACTGCACACAAACAAACCGATCCAGCAACAAAGAGGGGGAGGCGTGTTCTTGAGGCTCTCGCTTGCTGGGCACCGCTTGGTCGAGCTCTTCATTTGCTTTGTAGATTTTGACGGCCACGGGCCGCCCTCGCAGCTCCCCTCGACGGACAACCCCGAACCCACCACTCCCTGAGGAACGGGATGACAGACAAACACACCCATCGGTGCAGCCAATTCGCCGGGTGGGAGAGTGGTGCTGACCGAGCTCCTTGTCGCTCACAGTGAGGTCCTTGGGGTCGATCACCAGATCGACCATTTGAACAAGAGGAGAGGGGGGGAGGGAGATTGCGGGTTCTAAGCTCGCGCCCCCTCCCCCTTTCCGGCCGGAAGGGACCTTCGGAAGAGAAATTGGAGATCTCCGCTGTCGATGATATGTTGCGACTTGATGAGTCTAGGGGGTAGATGAGTCTGTGGCCGAGCGGATCTTGCACCTGCAGCAGGACGAACAGTTTAACACCAACAGCACCAGGCCAGCCAGGTTGGATGGATGGCTGTGTGGCGTAGACATTGGCGTAGACAAGGCAGCTTGAGTTCATCAATCGTTCCTTGACAGTGAGTGAGGCTTCAACCAACTTCAACCAACCAAGGCGGGCATCGTCAGTGGGAAGACCTCTGTCGACACCACACTTGCAAGGCCATTCATCATGAAAAAGAGCGGCTGAGGCACACAGGGCACTCCACCGCCATTACACTCATCGCTCCTTCCTCACTACACCTACACGCAAAAAATGGAATATACATACATAAGCAGATACACGACGCAATGCATCCCTACTGACTTGACGCACGCTGAGGCATGGCGTATGCAGGTGTGTAGGTATGGACCTCCGCGCCACACACGGGCCAAGACACACACACGCACGCACACACACACACACACGTGCGAGGACGACACGGATGGGGCCGTTGAAAACTTCGCTCTCCGCTGGACGAAAGAGCGTTAGAACAAACACACACACACACAGTGCACACACAGACACAATGGAGACACAGCCACACGTGCATTGCAACACGCGCAGGCATGAGTACGTACGCTTTTATGTATATATATTACCGTTGTAAAGGCACCCATCCATCGGCCGACCGAGATCGATACTTACATACCTACACCCATGTACTATGTATGGCCCGTTCGTCAGACCACACAAGCACAAGAAAACGCCACGCGACGACACTAGCAGGCAGGCAGGTAGGTCTGCACTCCCTCCGTCGCATCCGCCCTCCCTCCCTCCCGCCCTCCCACCCAGGCAGTAACACTCAAGCGGCCTGACTGACGTACACCAACGGCCCGCTCGACTAATAGAAAAGGACGCCCGGCCCATCCTACATTCACCCATTGCCCATCGACTCAGCATCTTCCTTACTCTCCCTGTCTGTGTCTCCCCCTCCCTCCCTCCCTCCCTGGCCCGCTTGACGGACCGGTCAGAGCCGTGACTGTGGGCTGCCTCCCTTCCTCTCTGGGTGGAGGATGTACTGAATGTGGCGGTAGTAACCCTGCACACCACACACACACACACACACACACAGACAGACAGACAAACACTCGAATGTGCGCGTGTGGGTGTGAGGGTGTCATCCATCCATCCATCCATTTTTCTCACCTCCGACACGTCGGTTTGGTTGAGGGGTTCGTATTTGGTCGACTCGTAGAGCGCCTCGTACACGCGGCCGTCGTAGCGCCCCAGGGCCGAGTTGAGCAGGTTGTCCGGGATGTTCCACGAGTCCGCTATGGCCACGGCGTTCGGGCGCACCTCCTGCAGACACACATCAATCAATTGGTTGATTGATTTTGATTGGACAAACTGAGAAGGGATCAGTGTGAGGGCGCGTCTGTCTGTCTGTCTGTCTGTGAGAATGTGGTTGCTTGCCTTGAGGAGCTGCTTGATGGTCTGCAGGAGGGGCATGGCGTGGTCAGCCTTGAGCACACGGGCCAGCACAAACTCACCTACACACACAAACCGGTGCGTCCATCCATCCATCCACACGCGTGTGTGTACCGAAAGTCTGGTCGATCCAGTAGAGGGTGTATAGGTCGGAGAGCGTCTTGAGGACGTCGATGACGTTGGTGTCGATGGGCGGTGTGTGGCTCTGCAGCTCCTGGATCTTGTCCTGGAAGCACCGGTGCAGCACCACGTGCGCGTGGGCCTTGGTCAGCCGACACATCTCGATCTTCACGTCGTCCAACGCCCTCATCTACACACACACACACACAGATCCATCCATCCATCCATCTCTGTCTGCCTTTGTGTGTGTGTGTGTGTCCGCTGCTAACGCTGTTGTGTCCCTTCTGCGTTGCGGCCATGAAGTCCTGAGCCGTGCCGTAGATCAGCACAGACGCACTGCATCACCCCACCCACCCACACACAAACACACAAACACACAATGGATGGACGGACGCACCCACATGCTCACAATCCTGCCTACCGTTTCTCCAGGGCCTGTTTCTGCCACTGGGGATCCCTCCAGTCGACGGCCCCGGCCTCGCTGCCCCCCTCTCCCTCTCCCTGTTGGCCCATGAATGCCACGGGGTCGAAGTCGAAGATGTACCTCATGGTGGACTCGGGCGGCGGGGGGCTCTTGCCCTTCATCTTGTGCTCCACCGCCTTGAGCAGCGAACGGCCCGTCTGGATCGACAGCACCACAAAGTCACCCTGGATGGATGACACACAGACAGACAGACACCCGACACACAGACAGACAGACAGACAGACACCCGACACACAGACAGACAGACACACAGACAGACAGATGGACGGATGCAGGCAGGCAGGCAGGCAGTGACTGGTGGGGGTTTCCTTGCTTGCCTCGTAGGTGGCTTGTGGGAGGAACGAGGCGAAGTGGAGGGGCACGCCGGCGGCGTTGAGGAACCCGTGGCCGCCCAGGGCCTTGCGGCACGCCTCCATTCCATCCGCTGATATCAACGTCGTCGCCGCCTTGAGCGCTGTCGAGGCACACACACACGTAGAGGCAGAGACAGGGAGAGAGAGAGGGAGGGAGGGAGGGAGAGCAGAGTGTGGGTGGATGTGTGTGTTGTTGAGTGGTACCTGATGTGACGGCATGGCATTCGGGGAGGAGGGAGAAGTCGTTCTCCATGCGAGCCTTGGCCTGCACAGACAGACAGACAGATGGATGTGCCAAGGCCCCTCCCTCGTTGCTGGCCGTGACCTACCATCATTTTGTTGTAGAGTGCGTGTGTCCAGAGGCCCGTGAAGTGCATGGCGAACGCCGTCGCCATCAGAGGAAATATCGTCAGCTGCTGAGTCGAGTAATCCAACACCTGCACACACACACACACGCATCACATCACACTCGTGCGTGCCGCAAGGTGAGAGGTGTCTGCCGCCCCGCACCTGGCTCTCGGAGCCGCCCATGCGCGCGGCAGCGGCCTCTGCGGGGTCGGCCTGTGTGGCGCTGTCCATGTCCATCTCCATGGACGGGAACTGACGGCGAACCGCAGAATAACGAGTCTGCCCTCACACACACACACATCGAGGCAGACAGCCACAGACGGGGACACAACAGATGGTGTGCGTGGTGTGGGTGAGCAGAGGGCTTACGGCGATGATGCAGGCCTTTGCGAGGTGCAGTCCTGCCCCCATGACGAGCTGCTTGCGGGTGTAGGTCATGGTGCCGTACATCATCTTGTCGTTGCCGATCTTCTTGTGGTTGCCTTGCTTGTCCACCGACGAATACCTTACCACACCACACACACACACACACATTACACAATATGTATGGCTCTGTGTGTGAGTGTGTGAGCGTGTGTGTGAATGTGAGCAGGTCGTTCGTTGACCTGGCGAGCAGGTGTCGTCTGGGGATGCGGACGTTCTCGAGCTGCATGGCGCCGTTGTCCATGCCGTTGTACCCCAGCTTCTGACCAATGTCGAACAGAGTCACGCCTACACACACAGACACAGACACAGACAGAGAGAGAGACAGAGACAGGGGGAGGGGGGCAGTCGCACCGTACGACCGACTGCCCATGTGAATGTGTGTGTGTGTACCCTTGATGGCCTCGTGTGTGTTGAGGTCCCGCACTTGAAGGAAAAATGGATGCGGGCCGTAGTCCTTGCCCCTGCACACACCAGCAACCGCAGCAGCAACAGCCATGGCAGTGACACAGAGAGAGAGGCAGACATGCCTCTGTGCTGTCCTGTTCTGAGCTTTTATGTGTGGTGTGGGTGTGCACCTGATTTTGAGTCTGGCCATGCAGATGCAGTGGGTGCACGACTTGGCCAAGCCGCCTGGCCACCATTTGGTCGCCTGCACACACACACACACACACACATACACAGCGTGTGTCGTGTTGAGCACAGCACGGCCCATGGCTGGCGTGCTTGTGTCCCGACCGACCGCACCGAGAGCGACGGCGTGTTGAGCACCCACTCCTCCGTGCCTTCGTCGTAATCCGCCGTCGTCTCAAGACCTGCACACATAAACACACACAAATGTACCCCCATAGAGAGAGAGAGAGAGAGCGTCCGCACGGCTGTCTGTGTGTCTGACCGACCGGCGACGTTGGATCCGTGTGCGAGTTCGGTTTGCGCGTATGTTCCGATGATGCGGAAGTCGCGGGCCAGCGGCACCCACCAATCGCACTGCTCGTCGTCGGCCAAGCTCTGATACACACACAGACATACATACACATACACATGGGGTCGTCTCGGTCTGTCTGTATGCCTCTGTGTGTGTGTGTGTGTGTGAGAAGCTATCTATAGCTAGACAGACAGACAGGTAGGTCTTTACCTGTAGGCATGGCAGGAACATGGTGAGGTGGAGGAGGAGGAAGAAGTCCTCCCCCACGGCCAGCTGCATAATCGTCAGCTCCTCGTCGCTCATCTTGTACTGACGACACAACCTACACACCAAGCAGTCACACACACACACACAGACACATAGACCTTCCCAGTGAGTGGCGATCCGACCACACGCACATACACACACCTGACGAACTCCTCGGCCCTCTCGCATGCCCTCAGGTATCGCTCGCTCCTGGGCATCCACCACAGGTCACTCAAACGAAACTTCGGATTGTGGCTGAACAGCTTGCGAATCCTGCAGTCACACATCAGACACACCACACGCATCAATCAGCAGGAGGAGGACACACCCACGCACACACACACACACACATGCATATAACTGAGGGCCTCCGTCTTTTGACCGTTCGTCCGCCTGGGTAGGACAGGGCCTACCTATTGATTTTTTCGAGGTCGTAGGTGCCGTAGATGGCGACGGTGAGGTCTGAGGTCCTGAAGGAGGCCCGCTGACGCTCGCGCTGCAGGTCGGGCACCACCGAATGACGGTCAACCAACGTGGTCGGCTCCATCACAGTACTGAGGCTCATGCAGGACGCCTGTGCTGAACTACACTACGCAAGGGGGGGAGCGATTCGGAAGGGGGGAGTGCGAGCTTTGAGGTGGAGAGATCTGCGCGCGTGATGGATCCTCATCGCGTCGCGTCTATCGCTTGAAGGCCGTCTGCTGTTGGGCAGAGATTGATCTCTCCCTTACCGCAGACAGACGAGTGCATCGACCAGCTCAGCAGTATCGGTATCTGTGACCATCTCTCTGCTCTGTCCCTCGATGTCTGTGGCGGCAGGGAGTGCGGCCGCTTCGTTCACGTCAGCGGCGCTGAGCAACAGCGTGTACATCCGGAACCTGTCTCCACTCGCCTCTGAGGAACACATCCGCACCACATTCGGCGACTGCGATGACATCGTCACCGTCACTTTCAAACTGTACGGATATGTGCGACTGACTGCACACACAGATGGACACCAATGTGGTATGGATGTGGGTGTGTGGGTGTGTTCATTCAGGTTCCCCGGCAGCACGACTCAGCGGTACTGCCAGGTTGATTTCAAGACTGCGGGGGGCGTGACCAAGGCGAGCGCACTCAACAATGAGCCGCTGCTGGGGGTGCCCATGTCCATCACGGTCATCGAGCCCGTCACGCTGCCTGTCGCTGTACCAGGCACGCACACACAAGACACACACACACACACACACGCCTTCTATGTGTTGTGTTGTGGTATGGTATGATGTGGCGTGTGTGTGTGCTGTTTGTTTGTTCAGGCATTGGTGCGCTGCCGAGTCTGCCGGCGAATGCCAACCCGCAGCAGGTGGCCGCCTACCACGCACAGGCACTCCTGGCACAGAGGGTCGGCGGGCAGCCGCCACCACCACCAGGTCCACCCCCTCCAACGACAGCAGCAGGCAAGCAACCAACCAGCCCAGGCCACACAGAATGGCTCGTTTGTTTGGTGACCTCTGGATGGACGGATGGATGGATGGATGGATGGATGTGGTCAGGTGGTGTTGGTGTAAACATCACAGGTTCGCTTGGCGGAGTGCCGGTGGCGAGGCCGTTTATGGAGCCGGAATCGGCACAGATTGCCAGGACCATACACGTCGACAACCTGCCAATGGAGGTAGGTGAGATGGATGGATGCATGAAGACGTCTCTCGAGAGAGAGAGAGGCAGGGATCCTGGCATGTGTGTATGTGTGTGTGAATGTGCGTATGGTGCGGTGCAGACGACAGAGGACGACCTGAAAGGCGTTTTTGGTCTGATGGGCACCGTCACTGCGCTGCGGGTCATTCAGCCCCCAGACAAGGACGGGTGAGCAGTCAGTCCGTCGAGGGGCGGAGGAGTCCATCCATCCATCCACTCTAGAGTCCATCTTTCTGTGTCCTATATGTGTGTGTCAGTGACAAGAAGTTCGCTCTCATCGAGTACAAGGACCGAAGCCAAGCCGAGCAGGTCAGTCAGTGTTACTGAGTGGCTGGGACACAGCACTGGCAACCTCCCCCTCCATAGATATCGCCTGTGTGCAGGCCTTCAAGCTCAATGGCTACCAGATGCGCGGCAGGAAGATCAAGTGGGCTGTGGCCGATCCCTCATGTGTCTGTGATCCATCCATCCATCCGTGTGCCTGTGTATGTGAATGTATGTATGTATGTATGTGTGTCTGTCTGTCAGGCTGTCTCCCTCCAAGACGACGGTGCATCCCCGCGAGCCGCTGAACGTCTCGTTTGACGTGCCCATCAACAACCCGGTCCCCGTGGCCTACCAGCAGCTGCAGAAAATACGACTCGAGGAGAAGATGCAAAAGGTGAAAGGGCGTCACGCCACGCCACGACACGCCACGCCACGCCACACGGCGCAGAAAGTGTGAACATATGGATGGATGGATGGATGTGTGTGTGTGTGTCAGGTCCGTGCGGCGCAGGAGAACCTCGTCAAGAAGCTGGCAGAGAAAGGTGAATGATAGCACATCCATCCATCCATCTCTATCCATCTCTATCCATCTCTGTCCCTAATTCGGCACACATACAATGTGTGTGTGTCGCTGTCTGTCATTCATATCAGATGCTGCCCGGCGTGAGGAGGAGAACGTGCGCCGCGAAGACAGGAACAGACGCGGCAACAAGTATGAAGGCACGGCACCGCACGCACACCAGCCATCGCCGCCACCAACGCACACACACCTGCACTGCATGTGTGTGTGTCGGTGCGTCAGTCGTTCCCGGTCTGGGTCGTCGAGGTCTCGTTCGTCGTCCCGTTCCTCGTCGGTGGGGCGGCGGCGCCGACCCAGCCGCGACAGGGACAGACAGAGATACAGGGACAGGTAGATCCGTAGGTCAATGCGGGGGGCTGGGTTGAACAGACGGGTGAATATAGATAGCACTCCTGGTAGGCACGTGTGTGTGTGTTTGTGTGTGTGTGTGTGTGCAGGGACAGAGAGAGGGACAGGAGGTATCGCGACTCGGACAGGTGTGTTGTGTCTGGAGGCACGTATGGATGGGCGTATGGATGGATGGATGGATGTGTGTGTGTGGCGCTTTGGTTGCGTGTCTCCATCACATGCAATGCATCCGCGTCCATCCATCAGACGTCGGTATGACGAGGCGCCCTCTTGGTACCTGAAGGGCAGGGGATACCACGACAGAGGCAGGAGGAGGTCAGCAGCCAACCGACCTTGAAGCACCCTCTCTGTCTTTCTCTCTCACCAACACACAACCACTTGTCCGCGTGTGCAGGCGTGATCGCGACCGAGATGTGGACGACGACTGGCGCGACAAGGACAGAGACAGAGACAGAGACAGGGACCGTTCACGGGTGCGCACACAGACACAACACAACATGTAACTAACGCACTACTGGTGTGCAGGACCGCTATCGGGGGAGGAGGTCGCCCTCCCATGACGACGAAGACCGTGACCGTGACCGTGAGAGGGGCAGGGACAAGGAGAGGCGGCGACGCGACGTCAATGAAGACGACGACCATGGCGATGTGGGCGAGAGGGAGGGGAACGTCAAGACGAGGACCAAACATGACAAGCGGGACGATGAGAGAGGTAGGTACATCACACACACACGTGTCCATCCATCCATCCATGTATGTCTGTATGTATGTGTCGATATATCTGTGTGTTGCGTGCAGGCGGTGGTGGTGGTGAAAGTGAGAAGGCCCCGCAGCGCGCAAAAGATGAGATGGACTACAGGTGGGTGGGTAGTACACTTTGACAGGGACAGGCAGGTGCACACACACACAGGCAGGCAGGCAGGCAGCCTTGCAGCCTTAGCGCAGCGCAGCGCCCTCCACCCATTGATTCCTAGCATCCATCCATCCATCCATGGTGCATTCATCACTCCTTCCACATGTATGTATGTATGGCATATATGTCGCGGGCGGGTGGGGTGGTCAGCCCCGAGAGAGTCAGTGCATACATGGATCTGTACCCACCTACTGGGTAAGCTGCCTGCCTACCTGCCTACCTGTGACCCCGATCCACTCACTCTCACCCTATCTATTCTCTGTCTGTCTGTCTGTCTGTTTGTGTGTGTGTGTGTGTCGCTGCCGGCCTGGTGTGCCTGTCTGGGTGCGCTTCGTTCAGTCCCGAGAGTCGCCCTGCAGCCAAGAAAGACAAGAAGAGGCCGCCCAAGGACCAGGACAATGAAGACCGCGACCGCGATATCGACGACAATGACGACGACAGGCCACACAAAACCAGCAGAGACAGAAGGTGCGTGCGTGCCTGCCTGTCTGCCTGCCGCACCACACAATCCGCCCTCGATCTGCTTGTATGACGGGCCTCCACGTGTGTGTGTGTGTGATGCACTCCCTCCCTCCCTCCCTCCCTTGTCTCAGCAGGGACGATCGACGTCACGGTGAGGCAAAGGTCAACGGCAGGGAGCGGGACCGTGACCGAGGCGATGAGGACGATGATGACGATCGCAGGCGACACAAGCGCGACAAGAGGTCGGTCGGGCACGCACACACACAGAGAGGCACATCGATGCGGTGCATTCAGGTCGGCCCGTCCACGGATGATGTGCATTGATTGACTTTGTGTGTGTAACGTCAGTCACAGGGGGGACAAGAGGAGGCGGGACGACTCAGATCAGGACGACAACCGGGTACTCGACTCACTCAGCCCACCACACTCAGCCAACGCACCCTGTGTGTGGTGTGTATGGTCTGTCTGTCTGTCCGTCAGGACCGCCGTCGTGCCGACACGAGGCGGCACTATGAGGATGACGACGACGACGACGACGACGACCGAGACAGACAGAGGAAGCGACACGCCAGATGAACCAAACCAAACGAGCGGATGGCCACGCCGCTGGTTCTGCGAAGGGTACCTACCCGAGTGCAGTGCATGTTTAGGGGCGATAAATAAGATGCGTGTATGTGTGTGGGCTGTGCGGGTGGGTGCGTATGGCCCTTGCCTCCTCCTCTCTGCGCAGCGCATTCATGCCGGCGTGCTCCCGTGCCGTCAAAGGAAGGAGGCGCTTTAGAGCATCATCAATCTTGTCAGTCACGTGTGGGTGTCACGGACGGTCAGCCCTGCCTGTGCTGCTGTGCCATGTGTGTGTATTGTGGAGTCTGGATGCCTGCCTGAATGAATGAATGAATGCAGTGTGTGTATGCGTGGAGCAGTAGAAACACACCTTCCTTCTCCAACAGGTGAATGACTCACGCCAGGGTTTGGGGCTGGGCCTCGGGCTACACAGGGTTAGGGTCATAGGGTTAGCGTTTTGTCGAAGGGAGTTCAAGCCAAGATTCGTGTAGCGACGTGCTTCAGACCCGCTCACACGTCTTTAAGTCATAATCACTGTCCGATAAGAAGATCGGTTGGGCAGAGATAGATCTCTTCTGACCACTCCTTCCTGCAGTTGTCAGCAAGATGTGGACGTCCGTCGCGTTCGTGGCCGTTGTGCTGATGCTGACTCAAGGAAAGGTGAGGAGCGGGAGAGGGGAGAAATAGACACAGCTGGATGGTCGCATTGCTGTGTGTGGTCTGGAGCTCGGCAGGAGTGCATGGCTTATGCGCCAGGCATGTCGGCCTCGGCGCTGCAGTCAGTGATCCAGAAGCCGGTCTCAGCCAAGCCGGTGCTGCGAGGACGGACTGCCACTCTCGTGTCGTCATCGTCTGTCGCCAAGCCACCCGCTGCAGCCGCCAGCAAGGCTGAGGTCAGTGTGTCAGAGAGTGATCACGTGTTGTGTGTGGTGATCCATTGTGCTGTGCATGGCTTTTGCCTCGTTCCCTGTTTCTGTCTGTGTGTATGTCAGACTGTCAAGAAGGCCGAGTACGTGGCGATAGTGGCCAACAAGGCGGGCGTGTCCAAGAAGGAGACCGAGACCGTGCTCAAGGCGCTGACCGAGACCATAGTGGAGACGGTGGTGAGTGGCAAGAAGATCAACATCCCCAACATCGGCACCTTCGAGCCCAAGCACCGCCAGAAGAGGACGGGCCGCAACCCCCGCACGGGAGAGGTGCTCGACATCCCCCCTTCCACAGTCCCCAGCCTCTCCATCTCCACCGTATTCAAGAAGGCCGTCAACGGAGAGGGACCGCTCCCCGGCAAGGCCGACAAAGCCGCCGGATAGACAGACGGACGGACGACATTTCATTCGATGGATGGATGCTTCCGGCATGCATACCTGTGTGTGTGCGGGCGGGCGGGAGGGCGTGTGCGTGTGTGGGCGGGGGTTGGCAGTGTTGCAAGGAGGGAGGGAGGGGCGTTTTAGAGCCATGCGTGCGGTGGACGGACGGGTGAAATGATGGACGGACCAAGACAGAGAGACGGATGTGTGTGTGTGTATGTATGTATGGGTGAAGGTACTTTTTGCCCGGTGGACTGTTTGGTGCTCTGTGAGTGAGCTTTGTACCATGGTACCTGCCTGCCTCACCTCGTCTGGCTGTCTGTCTGTCTGTATGGCTTGCTGGATGGATGAATGCCCGCCTGCCGCATTCGTGTCGTGATCGAGCGAGAAAGCGGCAGATGGTTGGGCTTGCTGCCTTGGCTTTGTGGCTGGCGAGAGGGAGACAGGGAGGGAGGGAGGGAGGTGGGGAGGGAGGCCTCCTCCTGTAGACTGACGGCGAGTGACTTTTGGATGTGAGGCTTCTGATTTGTACGTCGTTCCCGCCTCACATCCAAAAGTATGTGGTATGGAGTGGTATGGATTGTGTGGTATGGATGTGGGGTATGGAGTGGTGTTGCGCTGGTGCAGATGTTGTGTGTGTGTTGTGTTGTGTTGTGTCGGTGGCCGGGTAGCACACATCACTCTGACGGACATTGAGATCATATCACGCATTGTGGTGCGATTTGTCCATTCTCAACATTCTGCACGCCCTCTGTAATGCGGCCACACACAATTGAGCCTAGTATCATCTGCGGCGCGCGTGTGTGGCTTGTGTGCCGTCACTGTTCGTCACAAAGGGCGTGGATGTCTGTGAACTCGTAATCGTCCTCCTGCGAAATGCAGTGACGCACACATACACACATACACGACACTCAGGCGGGGCAGTTGGCGGGGCGCACCTGATGCCTGCCTGCCTGCCTGCCCTCCCTGGTCATGGTATAAGTGGTGATGGTGTGGCCTCTCGTATGCTCTGCTCTGTTGGTGCTTTTCTCCTCTGTCTGTCTGTCTGTCTGGCTGAGCGACTGGGTTGTGGGTAGAAGGACTACATAGAGGACGAATGGCTGCATATGCCGACACTGTGTGTCTGAGTGACGTACACGTGCGTCCACACCTGCAGCTGAATCCATTCATTGATAGGGAGAACAGAGTCTAGATCATCGCTTCTTTGCTTTTTCTTCATTCCATAAGCCCAAAAGCCCGCCGCTAGTGATACCGAAAGCACCCTACGCAAGAACTGACGGCACATTTCTGCACTGACGTACACATCTGGCTGGCATAACCGTTAGTTAAAGTCACAAATAGACGTCGCCGAGGAGATTGAAGAAGCCTAGCTTCTGCGTGAGGGTCCTGCAAAGGAGAACGTACACACATTCACACGAGGTTACGTCATTCGCAACAACAATACCGGTATCGTTCGGTGTCCTTCCCAAACACGTTGATTGTCCAGGGGAACCTGTGCACACACATACGCACTCCCGTCTGTCTGTCCGCACACACGACAAGTCTCCCTCTCCCGTTTGCGCACAGCTGCCCGATGGTGTTGATCCGCTCATTCACGTCAGCAGGCGAGAGGTTTGGACCTGGCCTCAGCTTCCATGTCTTGACTCCTGTGGCGAGACACGAAAGGCAAAAGTGAGTGTCTGCGCGCAGGGGATGGTGTCTTCACTGACCGAGACAGAGGTTGATGATGGTCTGGTCGATGCTGCCTGGGTGAATGTCCCACGCACCCTTAGGGGTGAAGTAGCCGTGGAAGATAGACCGTTTGGACCTGGGCGAAGAGACGCATGCAAAAAGATGCGTGTCAGCGAGACTGAGTGAGTGTGTCGGCTGCTCCAGCACCCGAGTATATCTAATGGCGTCGAGCCACGGTCTGTCAGCTCTTTGAGAGCATTCGCGTTGTGTATCGCCAATCTGGTCATTCCAGTCGATGGATACATCGTTTGTCCGGTCACTGTTTGGCGTACTTGAACATCAGTGGGGCGAGCTGATGAGGCTTGTTGTGGAGTTGTTCCAGCCACTTACTCGCGAACTCGTTGTCCGACCGCCTGTGCACCTTGGGCCTGAACAGCAAAGGATTGTCCGTGACTCCGTGTGTCCACATGCTGAGCGAGAGTCGATTACCTGAACAGCTTGTTTCGAAAAAGGCCAATTTCAGCCTTGTCTGCGTCTGTAAATCACACAAAACAAGCACGTCGGATCTCCACACGGCCTTCTTGCATCGATGCCTGTCTGCCGCTTACCGTGGACATGGACGCCCGTCTCGAGGTCGAGGTAGCCCAGCAGTCTGAACGCCAATGAACGAGTAACATGTCAGCAGAAGAGGTCTCTGTCTCATTACGATCGATCGTTCAGGTTCGCAGAGGAAATGATTGCATCCGTGTCGTCGGCAATCAGCGCCTTGGAATGAACGTACGTGTGCGCCCACTCTATTTCTCCCTGGCCTGCAGGCAGTCAGTGCGCAAAAGGCGCCGCGGTGGCTTTGAGCCTTACCAAGCCTTTGGTAAGTGACTCCGCCCTACGAACAGGCAGACCATTGTTTTTCATCTGCAGATGTGTGTCGTCCTTCAAGACTGTGGACCTGGAAGAGAACCGCCAAGTAGTCCGTCAGTTTGGTCCTGCTCCCCACGAGGCCTTCGTGCTGAGCGCTGCTGAGGACCCTCTCAAGAGCAGGCACCAGGCCACACTGGTGGTGGAATAGCGTCACGTAACGCGGATAGAACAGCTGCGGCGTGCCACATCGGATCAGCACATCTGAGCACCATCGAAATCGTCTCTCCTTTCTCACCCCGGCTTCCTCAGCAACGAGCGACTCGACCAGAACGACGGAAAACTTCTCTTTTTTTTTCGGATGGCTCGCTTGATGCGCCTGTGTCGACGCACAACACGGGGGGCCTGTGGACGATGTCCATTCGTCAGATCGGCTCACCTATAGAGTGCTATGGCGATGTGATTCTAAGACACACGCACACCCACAGATGGACAGAGAGCGTGCTGCAGAATCCCAGACCTTAGCGAAGAAGTTTTTCTTTGACGACTCCCATGTCTGAAGAAAAGCACAGAAGCAGAGAAGCAGAGAATTATGGTTGGAGAAACATCGTCTCTCTCCGACGGACGCAGTCCCCAGGAAAATTGCGGCTGCTGTCTGCTGGCGCCGACGACAGTTGCGTGTGGAAGTCAATGATCTTTTTGGGGATGCCTTCCCACGGGCGCAAAGCAGCGCTGTATATCGAGAACCAGATTGAGAAGCTGGCCGGTCCAATCACTCGCCCAATTGAAATGCTGTACCTGACGATATACTGGTTCTCGATATAGACGTACGATTGGGCGTTCTAGGTAGATCACAGCACGCGACAATATTGAGGCCTCACCGACACAACACGTGTACCTTAATCAGGCTCAGGTACGCGTCGTAAACGCTTGTGACTGGAACGGAAACGAAAAGACAAGAGACAGCACTCTAAACTAACATGTATGCCTTTGCCTACCAGGATGTGAGTATCCTCCGGTCCTCAACCAATAGTAATCACCTGAAACACGAGCAGGAAATCAGACATTCCATAGGTACCATGATTGACTACCCACCTGTGACGAGGGCTCGACACTGAGTTGCGCTGGGCTTGGCGTCGTTGCCGGACAGCAACTGCCGGACAATGTCTCTTCGTCTTGTGGCGGCAGCTTCGTCTCGCTTCCACTCTTCCATTGAAGGAGGGAGATTTTCTTGTTTACACTGAAAGCGGGCAACGCGCAATCATGGAGACGTCGCCAAACACAGTTACAATAATGCTGCTTGACATACCTCTGTCTTGGTGGTGAAGAAGCTTGTGCCATTGCTGTGGCAGCCATACCTAACACGTTCTCACGTGAATTGGACTTATTCTCAAGTATCGGTCTTGTCCGATTCACGTGAGAACGTGTTACCTCCAACAATTCACGTGAATGGAAGCAATGTCTGCTGCTGCTTGACCTGTCCAGACAAACGAACATCAGTGAAACCGGAGACGTATCTGGCGATCGACACTGCACCTGTGATGCGGGCCTGTGTGCCGTGATGGTCTTTGTTTGACGATTTTCGCTTTGGATTGCTCCGATGGTGCGATGGGGTAGCTGCCCTGCTCAAATGGGTTTGTGTATGTTTTGTGTGTGTCCATTCGGGCCCGTGTCATGCACCTGTCTTTGCTGATATCGATTCCACCGACATAGGCAATCTCGCGATTGATGATGACTTTCTTGGCATGCGCTGTAGAGATTGATGATGAGCATCGACGACGATTTTGATGATTTGTGGTGTCTATATGGCAGCCCACCGCTCCGGAGGAAAGACAGACTGTCTTGTGGCGTCTTGTAGGTGCACTTGCGCCGTTTGATGTCTGACAACTTGTATCCGTAGTCTAATTGAGAGAGAGAGAGAGAAAAAAAACACACATCATACGCAGCGAGACGTCGATGCGTGTGTCTCCCTGCACCTACCAAGGAATATGGGACTGAAAGGAATACACAGAAAAGGCCCGCGTAGGCGCAGACGTGTGTGTACAGTGCGTTGTTTCTTACATTCCCATATCGATCAGACGGTCCATTTCCTTTGGTCCGTGAAAGCCGCCCACGCTCTGCAGGGTCATCGACCACCAAGTGAAGTAGATTTTGACCCCCTGAGTAATGAAACGCAATTGAAGCGACGCATGACGGCCATGCAAGATTGTAAACTGCACGGTGCTGTGCATGTTGCCTTGTACTCTCTGAAGAAGCTTATGGAGAACATTCCAAAATGAGCTCTCGGGGTGCTCATCGCCCAGCAGAGGGACATCAAGGTGGAAGTCCCACGCAGAGAAAATGACTTCACTGTCACTCCCCGACAGGGCAGGATCCTATCGCCATACACAGAGACATCTCACATCCAACTGCGCTATATGAAAGCACGTAGCTGCACCAAGAGCCTGACAAGCCAAACACACGGCACAAGTGGGACAATTTTGGTGAGACATCCGTCGGCTGCTGCTCACATGAAATACAGCTCTTCGTAGTATCCAAGCGGCTCCGGAGGGACGCCTTCTGCCCATTGTGGATACATCTTCTTCCTTTGCTCAGAGTCCACAATTTGCACGTCGAACAGACTGGTCAAGCGAGATGATATGTGAGTCTTCATGTCGGATTGGCAACTTTCAAGGTCACCTATCCGACAGCGAGGCCACAAAGCCACGAAAGGTGCCTGGCAAACCACAGCTCGGCATCCCCAGCCTGCGCTCGTCGTTTCGCGTGTATTGAATCGAGCTTACAGGGCTGGAACGCAAAATTGCCTGCCCTTTCTTCCACTGGGGCGTTTGTGTATCTTCCGCATTCGTCGCGGTCAAACTCTCCTGCAGTCGCCGAGAGAATTAATCCTAGCGCCTGCAGCCGAATCCGTCACGGTGCTGTTGCCTACCCCGAAGCTCATCGCCGTTCACCAGGCGCCTGAGGCTGCGTCTGCTTCTCGGTGTCTCCCCACCCGTCTCATTGGCCGCCAATGATTTCTGAATGTGGGAGGACGCTCTGTTCCTGAATGTCGCAGCAGAGGGAGTTACAGCCCCTGCGCAAACAGTGCAGAACAGAGCGAGAATGATCGAATGTGGGACAGAGCTCGAGTATCGTTGAGAAACAGACCCCAAGAGAAAACGAGCGAGATAACAAGCACCTAGGCACTTGTGGGAACCATATCGACTCCTCGTGGTGTTCCGGAAAAAAGACGGGGGGGCGGCCCCCAGGACAGGAACATGATTTACGCACAGGCCAGGATTTCCTTGTGCATGGCGTGACACGGGACGGACATATCAATCCGTTGAATGGTAAATCCTTGGGGGCGACACGATGATTTCGCGCTGAGGGATGCATTGGCGATGCGGTCCGTTGTGTGTTGAATTAAATTCGGACATGCACGTGTGAGCGTCCATTTATTCCATCAACTATCTGCCGCAGATCGATCGACCAATGGTGTGTCTTTTTGTCCGTATTCATGCCAGCCACCTATTCCGCCTTCCCCCCTCCCTCCCTGATTTATTGACACATGTCGGTCCCCCTTTCACGCGGCTAGCAGTTTGGTCGACGGCTGGGTGTGTATGGTGGCTACAGCCGGTGAGAACGGGCGAACAGATAAAGGGACGGACGGACGGACGGACGGACAGACAGACAGACAGACAGACAGACAGACAGAGAGGGCTTCTCCCCCACATCAACACACACACACACGCACGCACACACACGCATGAAGTGCCTGCGTATGTCTGCACGGCATCCCGCAGCTCATCTCTCCCTCCAAATATATATTCAAAGACGCAGCAAGAAAGGAAACTTTGGTTTGTGTTATGTATGTGTAGTGGCTACGCGTGTCGTTGAGTCGACGGTCAGGCAGCATCTGTTAAATTCCGAATTGCATTCGCAAAAGCCACCGTACTCCCGGAACTTGTTGCACTGACACCACGAGGAGATCTGCAATTGGAGATCTGAACGTCGCCCATACAGCCCCACCATTTGCCGTGAAGGCAGATCTCCGGCGTCTTGTAGTCATCGCAGCGGCCTGCCAAATACACACACAAGATGAAGCATCCCGGATGAAAGCACCCAGCAGCAACAATAGAAGAGAGAATTGTTGCCGTTCCGCACATATAGGGACGGCTGCATCATGCGTTGTCAGTAGTTCGTTGTGGTGTGCATGAGCTGCCCTTCTATGTTGTTAATGGCCTGGAGGGCGGCCTTATTGGTGGTCAGTGCGGCCTCGGTGGTGGTAATGGCGTGGCGGATGCTGTCCTTGGCGAGGCCGAGCTGAGCCGACAACACACCCATTACGGTACCTGCACACACCCAGAGCAGTAGATGGATGCACGACCGTAGACAGTACACGACACGTGCAAAAATGTGTGTGTTATGTATATGTGAGGAGCCATGCATTTCGGTCTCCACACATGCACGCGTCCCCCACCTAACTGTGGCTATCGTGCCGCGACCCTCTGTCCTCGATGAACGAAGTCGGAGGAATGATACTGGCCGAACTCTCAACTGCAGCGCACCACGCATGCACAACACACCGGTGTGCTCCTTCTTTCCAGATCCCATCCGATGGACGCACCGTATTTGTCTCTGGCGGCCTGGATCTCCTGACCACGGCGCACAAACGACGCACCTGCACACAGCCGACGACGATTCGAACGAACGGCATACATGTGAATGAATGAGCCACACACGCATAGATCTCCACCGTACATGTCGGTATTGCAGTCCTTCCCCTCGCAATCGTCGGCGCCATAGCTCCGCCTCACACACCGACACCTCTGCAGCCATAGATCAGCCATAGATCAGCCATCCATATGGACAAAAGGGCACCGAAAACGCAAAGAATGGACAGATCTGCCGGTTTGGTGCGGGTGTGTCCCCCTGTGGCTTACGTCGGCCATAAATGCGCTGAGCCGCCAGCAGCGGCTCAGCAATGGCCGCCAGGCCGACCACCACGACGATACCGAAGCCGAAACGCATCATAGCGGCTCGACTAAAGCTCCGCAGAATGAACGAACGATGCGCTCGTCGGAAAACTCGAGATCTCTCCCGCGGCCCCCCTCTCACCACATGTAAATTCTCTGGCGGCGCACCCCCTTGGTGTCCGCCCAGTTGATGGTGATGAAGGCGACGAGTCGGACGATTGCCAAATCACCCTCGTCAAAAATGCGCCGCCCACCAAACGACCCAAGAACATCCTCAAACAGCAGCAGCAGCAGCAGCAGCAGAGTGCACCGGCCCAGCCTGTCAAGGAGGAAGAAGCAGCTCCCGCAGCAGCAGCAGCAGCGGCAGCAGCGACTGACGTGGACATGGACAAGCTGTTCGACTCGGATGACGACATGGCGCTGTTTTTCGATGCGGAGGTGGAGAGGAAGGGCGGGGTGAAGAAAGAAGAGAGGCGGGATGGCAATGGTGAGGGTGACGAGGAGGACAACGATGATGACTGGCTCGGATTCTTCGACGATGAGTAAGTACGGTGGACAGCATATGACATGCATGGTGGTTTGTTTGATGGTCTCCACCCACACGTATGTATTGTGCTGTCCAATTGCGTCTAGTGACGTGTTTGAGGACGGCAAGCGGCCTGCTGCCGCTGCCGCTGCCGCTGCTGCGGGTAGGCGTAGCCGTGCTGATGGTGGCGGGGGGCGGGGCGGGATGGGTGGCGGCTCCATCGAAGAGGATGACGATGACGACCTGACGGACAAGTAAGCCACACGGACACCTGCACAGGTGGGGGAGAGGAGGGACGGGGCACAGGTCGGCGTGGTGCGTTTGCATATCTTCTGCGCAGCGGCGACGACGACGATGCCATCGGACAGCACCGCCAGAACGCAAATGCAAACAAAGGTATGCAGACCGACCATGGTGGCCACACAAAGACGACGCATCCACTGCGTCTCCTTGCCGTGTGGTGTGTGCCTCTCTCCTGTGTGCAGGAGGAGGTGACCCGCTAGGCATCTGCCCAAGGACTGGCGAGAGGCGAAGAACCGACCACTGTGCCCATACGACCTCGAGCAGCAACAACACCAAGATGACAACATGCAATACGACCATGGATCGGTAAGCCATAAACACATTCCCTCCAATTCGTGGGCGGCTGTTGTAATGAAAGGGATGTGTGGTGCGTGTGTGTCAGGATGGTGCTGGGGGTGGAGGTGCTGGTGGGGGCGAGGAGGTCATGAAGGCCGTGCGTCGATCGTCGCTGTTCAACTTCGGTCACGAGCATCCTGCCGTCCTGGCGGAGGTGAGGCCTGTAACGCCCATGCATTCACTGCATATATCTGGACTCTGTGTGTGTGTGGATGGGTGTGTGTACCCATGTCAGTCGGCCACTTTGCATGCGGTCAAGTTGCCTCCGCTCCGCCAGACTGACATCGTATGCATGCCCAAGTAATTAATCGCTCGTGACGTGCACAGGTGTCTACACATCATTCCTCCCGTCCTTTCTGCCTGCCTTGCTGCCTGTCTGTCCTGCAGATGGGTAGTGGATCATGGCCTGTTGTCGAGCGTTCAGATGGAGTCGATAATACAAGCGTGCCGACGCTCAAGCAAGGTACACACACACACACACTCCCCACCCCCAACACGCCCACACACGAATGCACGCCATATTATCTGTGCTTGTTGTTGTGGTTTTGTCAGTTGTTGGACTCAGGGCACCGGGGTGGTTTCTGCCTCGGCGACGGAACCGGCAGCGGCAAGGTCAGAACCACACCACACACCAGCACGCGCATCTGCCGGTGGCCGTCCGTATTCAAGTCATTCATTGATGAGTGGTGCACTGGTGCGTTGGTTGCTTGGTTGGGTGCAGGGGCGGACCATGGCGGCGTTCATTGGGCACGTGCACAACCACAAGGGGTTGACCAGGAACCAGCGGCACATCTGGTTCAGTGTCTCGCCCGACCTCGAAATGGACTCAAAGAGAGACATAGGCACATACGGACACAGACCACACGATTCATGCTGCACGGACATGGACACCCACTAGTATACGCCTTTGTGTGGTGTGTTGTGTTGTGTTGTGTGGTGTTGTGTTGTTCAGATGATCTGCGTCTGGGTATACCTCTGGCCAACATCAGGGGCATGCCAGTGTTCGACTCCTTCATGAGCAACCGCAAGAACAAAGAGAAACTCGTGGACAAACTGGGACCCTCATGTATCCACTATGCCACACACACACACACACAGACACATCCATCCATCCACAGAGACATACACATATATGGGTGTTGTGTTGGATGCCTGTGCGCCCCCTCGATGCCCTCAGGCAACGGCATTCTCTTCTGCAGCTACATGTATTTCATTCGGCATAACACCGGCAGCAAGGCGGAGAACCTGTCAGCCCGGCTCAAGAAGGGCGACCACGACATACTCAATGATCCCAAGTACCCACCCCCCCACACCCCCACCCCCATCCACGATTCTCTCTGTTTGGTGTGTGGTGTGTGTAGATTGTGCCGGTTCGCGGCCACTGTCGAGTGGCTGGGCGGCAAGGACGCTCAGGGCACCATCGTATTCGACGAATCGCACAAGGTCAGTCGGCGAATACACACCAATTCAGACCAATGTCCGCCACGTGTGTATGCAGGCCAAGAATCTGGGGCCAGAGTTGACGGGCAAGGGTACCGAGTTCGACAGCCAGAACATGACGCCCAAGGGCGCATCCCTCACCGGCGTGCTCGTGGCCAAACTCCAGGCACGTCACACACCAATGAGCTTATGGATCGATCCATCCATCCGTTCATCCATCGTGGCGTGTTTGTTGTCACGTGTGAGCAGGAGTTCTGTCCCAAGGCGCACGTCATCTACGCATCCGCGACTGCCGCATCAGAGCTGCGCAACCTCGGCTACATGTCTCGTCTGGGCCTTTGGGGTGAGTCAGTGAGTGAGTCAGTAGGTTGGCGGAGTGCGGCGCCCAGGTGCAATTCAATGGGTGGCTGCCATGCCACGTGTGTGGTTGTTGATGTGTGTGTATGTGTGTGTAGGTCCGGGGACTCCGTTTGCGCACTTCCCACAGCTGCACAAGCGGATCAACTACAGCGCCGTGTCGGGGATGGAGTGCCTGACCATCAACATCAAGTCGCAGGGACTCGTAAGCACACGCACCCACACATATAGGACACACATGACATTTCGACGCATCTATTCCCCCCTTGTGTCTATGTCTCGCTGTGTCTGTGTGTCTGTCTGTGTGTGTGTGTACAGTTCTCATCCAGGACCCTCAGCTACCACGGCTGCAAATTCGTCGTTGACAAGGTGCTGCTTGGGTGGATGGATGGATGGATGTGCACCAGGGTGTGTGGTGGCTTGGTGTGCCTTTCTACAGATCGGCCTCAAGAACGACGCCACCAACCTCTACTCGACGGCAGTGGTGGTGTGGCAGGACGTCTTCGCCCTCTTCAACGAGACCAAGGAAGACCCACACGTTCACTGGCACGACGGAAACACACCCGGATGGTAGGTAGAGATTGGCAAGGTGCCGGCGTGGCAGTCACCCCCTCTCCGTCTTTGTGCCCGTCTACAGTGCCTTTTGCTCCAGCCCGGACTGCAAGTACACAATCCACAACGATGAGCGGATGTAAGTGGGGCAACCCAGACGTCCGGCCGGCCAGCCAGACACAAATACAGACACAGACAGACGCACGACAGGGCTCTCTCTCTCCGCATGGCTTCATCGAATCCGTCAAACAGGGTGGCGACGATGCAGTTCTGGGCCACTGCTCAGCGTTTCTTCCGCATCCTGCTCGTCGCGACGAAAATACCCACAGCAGTGCGCAAGGCTAGGAAGGTAAGGGCAGGGCAGGGCAGGGGGGGGGAACTTGCCGAGCCGAGGTACATAGGCCACACAGGGTGTCCCTTGTGACACTCCTTCAGGACCTCGCCAATGGCAAGGCCGTCATCTTCTCAATGTACACGATAGACGGACACCACACACGACACAGCCCGCAACACACACACGACACAGCCCCACAACCCTCTGTGTGTGTGCAGGTGGTCATCAGGCGAGGCCCGGCAGCGTGAGAAGGCCGACCAGCAAGAGGCCCGTCGTGCGGCGCGTGGCGAGACGCTGGCTGATGATGCGGACAACGATGAGGACCAGGAGGCCATGAACACCGCTGGCCTCGACCTCATACTCGAGCACCTTCTCGACAAGGTGAGGGCCCTCTGATCTCTGCTGCTTTGTGTGCGTGGCTAGATGAATGGATGGATGGATGGATGGGTGCAGTGGGTGAAGACCAAGGACGTGCGCGGCTACGAGGTGGGCGTGGTGGGCCAGACCTACGACGATCGCAAACAGGCCATCAGTAGGGGGAGGGAGGGAGGACAGGGCGGGAGGCAAGCAACATACACACACGTGCATACGCATGTGTCTCTGCCTGTCTGTGCCATCCATCGTCCTGCAGAGGAGCGCCTTGCCAACATCGACATGCCGTAAGCCACCGACCGACACACGCACACCCACACACCCTACTCCACTGCTCAATTGTTCGTTGGTGCAGCCCCAACCCTCTGGACGCCATTCTTCAGGAGTTTGGCGGGCCAGACAGGGTGGCTGAGCTGACAGGTCAGTGAGTGAGAGGACGGATACACTCATCCTCCAGCCAGTCACGTGTGGGATGTCCTCTGTTCATCTGCAGGTCGTTCGAAGCGTCACGAGGTCAACCCGAGCACCGGTCGTCGTGAGTATGTCGACAGGGGCAAGTACAGCCGCGGCCGGCCGAGCAGGCAGGGCGAGTCCATCAACAACAGGTCGGTTGACCGGGCAACACAGAGATGGATGGATGGATGGATGTGGTTGTGTCAGGGAGCGGCAGTTGTTCCAGGACGGCGAGAAGCGCATCGCGGTCATCACAGAGGCGGCGAGTGCGGGGATCTCACTGCACGCCGACAGACGAGCCGGCAACAGACGGCCTCGAGTCATGGTACGCAGCCACGCAATGAAATGGCCTCCATATAGACAGTGCACACATCTCTGTTTGTCTGTTTGTTGGTCAGTACACCTTGGAGCTTCCCTGGTCCGCCGACAAGGTCAGAAGGAGCACTTTAACCCAACCCACCCCCCTCCCTCTCTCTCTTTCTCTGTGTGTGTCTCCGGGGGTGCTCTGTCTGTCTGTCTGTCTGTATGTCTGTCTTTCTGTTGTCATCCATATATATCAGGCGGTGCAGCAGTTCGGCCGATGCCACCGATCCAACCAGCTGCACAACCCCCAGTTCCACCTGGTGGTGACGGAGATGGGCGGCGAGATCAGGTTCACATCTACCATCGCACGCCGCATGAAGATGCTCGGTCAGCGACCAAGCCAGCCATCGCGGCTTACATCAATGCATCCGTTGTCGATGTGCCTGTCTCTCTCTCTCTCTCTGTGTGTGTGTGTGCGTAGGTGCGCTGACTCGTGGCGACCGTCGCTGCACCATGAGCGAGGCTGAAGACGCGACCCTTGCTGAATTTGACATGCAGGTAGGCATGGATCCTTGACGCACCATACCATACACACACGCCAGCTTATCCCCTATGTGTGTGTGTGCAGACGAGGAATGGTCGTGAGGCTCTGAAGGCGCTGCTCAACGACATATCCAAGGCAGCCAAAGACGTATGCAATGCAACGCAACGCGCACGCACAAACACACTGTAACGCACATATGTCTCCATGGATGTGTGTGGTTCCATTGCCCTCTCCGCTATGTATGTGTATGTATTGCAGCCGACCTACGCCGAGGGCATGGACGAGTACCTGGTCAGCCAACACACCATCGACAAACGAGGAGCCATCCATCCATCCATCCATCCATTTGTCCGTCCGTCCATCCGCGTGTCTCTGCCCTCCTCCCCTGCGTGTATGCGATCATCAGATGCGCGACAACCAGGACGAGTCTGACGCATCCAGCTCCGAGGACGACAAACCTCACCCACACCCACAGAAGCAGACACAGAGGCGGGGCGGCCCATCCTCATCCTCAGCAGCAGCAGCAGCAGCAGGTGGTGCCGCATCTGGTGGGATTGTGGACGTGGACGGCGATGAGCAGATGCCCGAAGGGGGGATGGTGATGGTGACAATGGTGGGGGTGGTGGGGGCCAGGGCGCGCCTACCCTGCCCTCGTGTGAAGGATTGGAGGAGGAGGACGACAGCGATGACGATGACACGCCAGAATACGCCTTCCAGAAGTGAGTGAATCTGTGGGTGCGGTGCGTTGGCGTGTGCCGGGTGGGGTGGGTTGACGACGTGTTGTGTGTTGGGTGTTGCCTGTGATGTGGTGGGTGCGCGCAGGTACTATGATAGTTTTGGTGACTTTGCCGAGCAGGCCATGGAGGAGATGGGCAAAGTCGATGTCAGTGGACTAGTGGAGCCTGAGGTGGGTGGATAATTGGGTAATGGGTGGGTGGGTGTGATGCACACTCTCCTCTCCCTCCCTCCCTGCCTCCCTCCCTTGGTTGCTTCCTCGATGTCACTCAGGAGGATCCCAACAGCCGTCGTGTGCTGAAGAAGAAGAAGACGATATCGCTGCGCAGCTTCATGAATCGCATGCTCATGATGCACCGGCCGTCCAAAATCCCGTCTTTGAGTGGCTGATGTGTACGCAACACAAGACTCAACACACAACACACAACACACGCAGGCAGAGCCGCTCAATGTGCTGCTCGGTTTGATGCACTGCAGACATCTTCGCCGAGAAGGAGCAGTCTGGGTGGGTGACAAGCGCCCGTACTCGTGTGTCTTCACCCCTTTCCCCCCCCGCCGCACTGCCTCCCTGTGCGTGTGTGGTGGGTGTGTCAGTGACGGTGCCAAGGACAAGGACGCCATCGCCGACCTCAACTCGTGCTACCGGCAAGCAACCAAATCACACGTCGATCGACTAGACACACACCACAACATACACACACAGATGTACCTCTATGTGTGTGTCTCTCTCTTCTCCGTATGTATGTGTGTGTGTACGTGTGCAGTGGACTCATCGGCGAGCCGCAGGCCGTAGTCTTCGAGAAACATGAGATCATCGCCAACGATCCACACACACACGCAGATACCGTAAGCAGCGAAACAGGGCGGGCGATTTCCATGGAATCTCTCTCCCTCCGTGTCTGTGTCAGTACTACACCCACGTACGGGTGGACAGAGGGATATCCTTCGAAGCCGCCAAGGATCTCTACCTCAGTGTGCGCAAGAAGAAGGACGCTGCCGGCCACAAGAGATCGCCGCACAAGCTCCATCGGCCGGAGGGGTTCTACTGGTGGATTTCTGTGTGCACAGACAGACACATGTCAGGCAGACGATCTCTGGCATTTGTGCGTGAGTGTGTGTGTGTGTGTCAGGTGGCATTACAAAAAAGACCAGAGGTGCAGGCGCTTTCCCATACTCTTCATTCAGAAGAAGGAGACATACGCAGCGGTGGGTGGGTGGGTGAGTGGGTGCACTGGATCCGACCCAACCGCATCCATCAAGTACACACGCGCGGCATATCCACCTCTGCCTATAACAGGACAAGAAGTACAAGGTGTACCGCCCCAACATCGGCGCCAGCGACGTCTTCCTGAACCACATGTCGCTCATCTTCAGATCGCTGCACGCCCTCAACAGTGACGGATCCATCTCGGTGCGCTTGGGGGAGGGGGGACACACAGTACACGGAATACAGACAAACCACCACCAATACACGACCTTTTGGTGGCTGCAGAAGATCGCCATTCAGAAGAAGCCAGACGAGAGCGGCAAGCTGGTCGACAACCTGAGCAGCATCGAGACGCAGTAAGTGACCCCTCCTTGCGAGCGCATGTCGTTGGCTGCCTGCGTGTCATGTGGTGTGATGTGCTGTGCTGTGCCCTTTCTGTTTGTCAGCTGGACCAGGTGTTTCGAGCGTGCTGATGAAGTGTGCAGCTGCCTGTAGGCAAACATGACGCTAGACACGCACAGGGATGGATGGATGGATGTGTGTGTGTGTATGTGTGTGGGGTGTGTGTGCAGTCAGTACACCAGCGAGCCTTGGAAGTTGGAGCAGAACGAGGACGGCATGCACGTCGTCAACGGCAGCGTCTGCACAAAGGGCATGCGCAAGGTGGGTGGGGAGGCGGGTAGGGAGCTGTCTGGCCATATGGACATATCTGTGGGCACACCATCCATCCATTTGGTCATCTTGGTGCAGATGTCGGTGCATCTGCTGTCCGGCAATATCCTCAACTCGTTCGGCTTCTTGGACAAGGACTTCAAGGCCCCTCGCACCGTAGGAAGGAACCCTTCTCTCCCACACCCACTCAGCGACTCAGCCTCATTGTGTGCCTGTCGATATCAGGGTGTCGCTGCTGATGCCGCCGGCGGTGGTGGTGGCGGTGGTGGCGCCAAGGGCAAGGCCAAAGCCAAGGCCAAGCAGGCCAATCGTCAGGATGGTGGTGGAGGTGAGGAGGGTGGGGAGTCGGGGGGCCGCGATGGAACCAAGACACCCACATTCTTCAAGACCAAATTCGGAGGTAGGTGCATGGGTGGACACACAGACAGCCGTTCGTGTCCATCTCATTCATCTCGGCATGTGTATTATAATGGGCAGGCGAGCAGCTGGTGATTGCGCGGGCGACGGAGACCGAAACAGGTGATAGCCCACCCAACGCAGCCGTCCATCCATCCATCCATCCATGTGTGTGCATGTGTGTCTGTGTGTCTGTCAGGGATCCGTGTGGTTGGCATCGAGTTGGAGCCCGAGTTGGTGGAGGACACCAAGCTGATGGTCAGGATCATCCAGTCAAACAGCATATTCGACCACACAGCAAACACCCAAGACGGAGACATAAACAGTACGCTGCTGCACTGCATGCACATAACATATCACACGAGCCCATCTCCCGGCAACTCATCTTTCCAACCTTGCGCTTTGCCGCTTTAGGTGAGGACAAGAAGGTGGCTCTCGCGACGCAGCTGGTGCAGATGCAGGGGCAGCTGCACACAATCACCTCATCTGTCGAAGTGAGTACGCTGCACACCGTGCACCTCACAATGAATGTCCTTCCATTCCATCCACCGCCTGCCTGTCTGTCTGTCTGTCTGTCTGTCTGTGCAGCTCCTCAGCTCCCTGATCGACCGGGGCGTCCTGCAGCCCACCAAGGTGTCTCTCCTCGCGCCCAGAGCGTCATCGCGACCCTCGAGGAGGCACAGATCATCAGCATCTCGGCCAAGGATGGCCTCACGATCCACCAAGGGTACCATCTCGACGGCATCTTCCACGGCGGCACTGCACCCGATGAGCAACACGTAGACGGTGGGTCGGTCGGCCGGGGGATGCCATCGATGGGGCCCTCCTGTGCGGGCGGATGGATGGATGGATTTTTGTCTGTCCGACTGCAGATCATTTCGCGAAGAGGGGCTTCAAGGACATGCGTGCAGCGCCGCCCCCCGCCCGGCAGCCGCCCCCGAATCTCAGGGACGCAGGTGACAGAGTGAGATGAATGAATGAAAAGTCGGTGGCTTGACTGACATGTCCCCCGCCTGCCTTCTTTTTGTTTGTAGTTGTGCGTCTGGGCATTGCGCTGTTGAACCACCTCAAGCGGCAGCCACGATTCAAAGACCCCCAAATGACGTCAAAAGAAGAAGTACACACACAGACACACACACACACACCCAGACAGAGAGAGGGAGAGAGAGAGAGGAGGCAGCATATGCTGCTCTTCCTGTGCGCATTTCTGCAGGTGGCTAAGCGGTTGGCGGCTCCGCCCGACATGAGCGACGACGTGCGCCAGCGTGCAGTGTCCTTCGTGCTGCAGGGGATGCGGGATGACGGCCTCATCCGCGGGCCGAGCGCCAAGGAGGGCATCCAGCTGCTCGACCCCAGTGAGGACGAACAGAAGGTCCGCACTCTCTGGGGAGGCTGACGTGTGAAGGCTGAACGTCACGTGTGTGTGACGCTGTGGTGGGTGATTGAGTGGATGATGGCTGTCATTGGTGAAGGAATGGATGTGGTCTTGGACAGGTCACGGCCTGAATGGCCGACTGCTTGAGCGACGAAAGGCCAGAAACGCTCACCTGTCACACAAATCCATGCGCAGACACATACGCACGTACACATGCACACATCCATCTACGCCGTGCAACCACTCTCCCTGTGCTCCTTCCTGACCGCATTGCGTTTCGACGCCTTGGGCTTTTGCTTGGCGAGTGCCTCGAGGCCTCCACCGGCAGGCACCTTTCATACTGTACTGCTGTCTGTCAGTTGGGGATCATGCATCTATCTGATGCTTGTCGTCCAGGCCAAAGCCTGCACGCAAGTGCTGCGGCTGCTTTGTCATTAACTGCAGCTGCGGCCGGGCCTCCAAAGCTCGCAAAGGCGGCCCCAGGACACCTTTCTTTTTCGCTCTCTTCAAGTTCTCTTTTCGTTTGGCACACACGCCTGAACCGACGTTTTTTTTTTTTTGAGGAGAGATAATTGACAGATGGCATCCATGCACTCGCTTGTCCAAATCGCCTCCATGAATCTATCCACATATGCCTATGCACAAAGGGCACGCTCACTCATCCGATGAGAAC